GAAAGTGTAATCTTATCTATTTAGTAGATAAGACTGTTTCTTTATGATTTATAATTAAACACTCACATCATACTTTTAGTCTGAAATAAAATGATAACTCGTTATCGGTATAATTCACAAATTTGTTAGAAGTGGTGTTTAATACGAAGTTGGACATATGGAGATATTTACTTGTTGATGCGAGATGGAGGTATTTCGATATGTGTTTCTGTGTTTTTTTTCTTGCAAATATTGGTGGGTTTTCATAACTCGTCACTACTATATAACATACCCAATAAGCGTTGGGCTTGGTTAGCAATTTGAAAATGATTGAGGAACTAATATTTTTTCAAGTCTCACTTTCTTTAATGAATGTGAAATAAGTAAGTATACGATTCGAGAACTAGGCCATTCAACAACAAACCGGAACCCCCTCTAACCAATATTGTTTGCCTCCGTTATGAGTTCGAAATCCAGCCCATTACAGAATGGAAATTTTAATGAGAGTATGATTGTCTTATATTTGCCTTTGAGCGTGAGCTGGCTTTCACTATCTCTCTTGTCTCTATGGTTTTAATTTTTTAACCCATTATCGAAGGTCTTTTCGAGCGTTCGCCAAAATGTTTATAGAGTTTTAAGTATACAGGTTATCTACATTAAGTTATCAGCTTACAGCTTAGCTCTTTGTAATCATATTCCTTATTCTAAGAGCTATTGCTTAAATTTGGTAGTGGCCTTATACTAGAAGTCGAACGTGTACGTTGTTTAATGCATTTAATGCACTTAGGTCGACTTTCTTCAGAGAATTTTCGCACCAGATCGCACGATTGTCAAATTGTGCGGTATCCAATAAGGAACAAATTCTTTATACGACTAAAGTTTTGTGCAATACCGTCGATCTGGCATAATCCTTGCATGCATAAAATCGATAATTTTTGATGCATCAGCAGATTTTAGACGACTTTCCCTAGGATCACCATTAGCGAACTACGACCACGATTGGGTTTATTAAACTTACGACTAATAGTGGCCCTATGGGGTAACGCAAGCCACACTATTTAAAAATAAAACAAAAACTTAATGTGGGTGGTAACTTTGAGCGCTCCACCCGCCAGCGTTCCAACTCACCTCGCCTCATGGGAGAAAAGGCAGCAAAATTGTTTTTTTTTTTAATATAATATGCCCCTTTTTTGAACTTTGACTACTACAAACAAAAAAACAATGTATGGTAAATAGTAATTTAAGTTTTAATTAATTTGATTTAATTTAGTAGTAGTTTAAGTAATAAAAACGAAGACTTAAGTTTATTAGAGCTTTTTTAATTTTATTCCTAACATTCGCATTCCGAAAATTCGCATTCGCATTCGCGAGTGTGAAAAATATGACATTCGAAATATCCCTAGTACACACGTACAAATCGTTGTTAACATATAGAAAAGCACCAATGATGTTTCCTTATTAACAGGAAAAGTAAAGAACGAAAAAGTCCAAACATTAGCTACATACATATATTTTTGTGTAGGACGTTTTCAAATATGCCAGAAAATTAATAATTTTTAAGTTACGGCTCCAAAACTGTTAGTAAAGATGCGTTGAAGAATACGGTGTGTATAGGGTTGCCAGATTAGATTTATCACACTGAGATTCAGGGGTCTCCGATCGAATCTCGAAGCCCAGGGTTTGTCACAAATTTCTCAGGGTTTGAGAAAATTCCTCAGGATTTATGCAACTGTTTTTTTTCTGTATGGGAAATATTTTCGTATAACATTTTAACCCATTAGCTCCCGCCTGAAAAAATCGTTTTGACCCTTACATCGAGAAACCCCGAGAAAAGTAAATTTGGAAGTTCGTTAGAGGATTGAAACATTCTAGAAAATTAATTTTCGGAAAAGTTTAATAAGGGTCTTCTCAAGCAAAAACTTCATGTCACCAACGTAAAATTCTGTATAAAGTTAAGGCAAAAAATCTATGCCATGAAGGAATTACATATTTTCGCTATGTGGCAAACTGCAAACTGATTTCAGTTCAAACTTAGATCACGTAAACTGCGTTTGTATTGAACAGCTGGCTGATATTTGATTGGATAATCTTAATTTAAACCAGCCAGCTTTTAAACTAAGTTTAAACCAAACAAGTGCGCTGGAAAACTGGCGCTGAGAAACGTAAAGTTTGGATGCACCACCTTTTTTGACAAGAGGGAAATTTTTTTTCGACCACCTTAATGTAATGTAGTAGCTATTCATTCAATCATATAGCGCATTGAGAGCGTATATACGAATTGACAAAAATGTATGTATATAGGTTTGTTCGTCGAGCAAAAAATTTGTACGAATTTGTACGAATTATCACGATTTTTGCCCAAATCGCGTTCGTGCAGACCAAAAAATTATCCAACACTCAAAAATTGTGAGAGCAAAGTGACAGTTCTCTTGGAGAGAAGTTGCAAATTCTTGCTGGAAAAAATTTTGCCAGCAAGAATTTGCAAACACGAAAAACATGTGGTTGTGGCGCATGGTTGCATTTTTGTCTACAATAATTTGAATAAATTAGTTCGTTAAATTTAAAAATTTATAAACACGAGCGATTTTTTTATGAAAAAAGGAAGTAAATAATTGTTGATATAATTAATTTAGTTAATTCCAATGATTTGAACTTAAATCGGCTGAAAAAAATGGTATTCGCAATAGGAATGCAATTGCAACCAGAGTCGATTTAGGAAACCCGACAGCTAGTACGATGAAGAAATTGAAATGTATGTTAACGAAAGTCAGAACAACAAGAAATATACATGTATATCCTGTTTTTGGCCATCCGAAAGAATTTTAAAAATTCTATAAAAATTTTTTATGTTTGAAATGCAACCGTGGACACCAGCTGGCAGCGAAACTGGCAAATTCCTGCAAATTTGCGCTCGTGCAGAAATTTGCAAGTTTCTCAACATGAGAGAGAATTTGAGAGAATTTTTTCTTACTCTCTGATATTTTGAGTGTTGGATAATTCTTGCTGGATTTTCGACGAACAAACCTTATATGTGGAGGTAATTATGAGTGTGCGTCTTGCCAATGCGCCCAGCACACCCCCACTCTGCAACAGTGAAATTTACCGCGATTTCCGATGATAAAAATGTAAGCTTTTCGTTTGAAATCGATTGTTATCGCCGCGTCCGCTACTGGCAGTGCTGATAACCACAGAAGCGCGTAAGTACGTACATAGATGCACATACATATACATACATGTACGTGTGTACTTTGAATACCCTGTTGGAATAAAGCGAGCCGTATAAAAAGTATCCAGTTGAAAAAGTAGTTAGAAATGAATCACTTTCAAATTAATGCAGCAGGCGAGTGTCCGGCTCAGAATTGGGAACAATGTGGATTATGGTAGTGTGTCAGTATAAACCTTTTAATAAAAGAATTCAGAAATTCTAATTTGTGTACATTTTAAAAGGTCAATTGGGGTTGTTTATTTTATGTTCTCTTATTGTTTATTTTTAAATCACAGATTGCAGCACGCACTATTCCGAATCTAAAACTAATTCAAATAATTTGAGATTCTATTAATATAATTGATTATTTTCACAGCAGAACTGTGTACTCTGTAGGGGCTATATGTAGATTTTCAATGAATTCAGATAACACAATAGCCAAGCTAGAAAATATCAAACCGGTTTACCGGAAATTTGAGATCATAGAGTTTTAGAATTATCTACTCCCGACTGTACTTCTAGTTGCTTTCGAAATCATTTCCTAAATGGAATTTTCAATTACAGTGGTTGAAAAATAAATACGCACACGGCGTTTTTTCAAATTTTGCCCATTATTCTTTCCAATATTTAATATTTATTATTTGTACATAAAATTATAGCTCATTGTCTAACAAACACCATATAAATTAATATTTCAAACTTTGTGAAAAATTATAACAATTCTGCGAAATTGCATATAAATTTTTAAGTTTTTAATCAGATTTTTTAGAATCTTTGGAGTATGCAGTTTTATAGTCCAATCAATTTTAGTATAATGACGTGTAAGTTTTAAGTTGCAAAAAAATCGTGTTGATTTTTGGCAATTTTTTCCATAAAAGCTTTATTTTCCATAAAAATTATGTTCGACATTTTTTTTTGTATGGAAAAAGTGCGTAATACATTCAGAATAAAAATTATCAGAAATCGGCGCGATTTTGTAGGCACTTCAACTTGTACTTTATTCTGCTAAAATTGGACTATAAAAGCGCATACTCAAAAAAAAATCTAAAAAATCGAATTAAAATGTTGCAAATTTAGATTCAATTTTGCAAATTTAGATATAATTTTTGCATAAAGTTTGAAATATGAAGTTATATAGGTTTTGTTAGATAATGAGCTATACTTTTATAAAAAAATTATCTGCCTTATCCTCAGTCTCGCCTGAAAAAAAAATCACCCGAAAATTTGTCATCCGACAATAGTAAAACCATGGAAACCAAAAGTGAAAAGTGAGTCGCTTCGGTGAAAATGAATCACATGATAATGCTGAATAAATATTAAAAACACAAAATAAAAATAGGAAAAATGTGTTATTTATTTTTCCAACACTGTATATACCCTTTTCAATGAAAGCAGTTATGCGTTGATGTATACTGTTCTCAATAACTGGAAAATGTATGCGCATTACGGTGGTCCAAAAATGCATGTGAAAAAGTAAAGTCGGGATTCTTATGCTCTCACTCCCTAGCATTGTTCTACACCGAGAGTTACCCCCCATTTTATTTTGAAATCAAAAACTATTTAGAGGTAGCTCAAAACGCTCAAAGTAGCAAAAAACCGGATTATTCGATATTCGAAAAAAAGCGCCTTGAAACCGGTTAAACCGGTTTGAAAAAACCGTGTCAATAATCCTAGTATTTATAGATAAATACGCACGTTGTATATTTTCAATAGTGTTCGTATGGCTTGGCTTAACTTCTCGATTGTATATAATACAGTTTCTGCTTTCGCGCCCTGCCGCACGTCTTTGTGGGATTTTTATAGTTTTATTTACTTTTCGGACTGTTTCGTTTTTGTTAAGAATTGTGTCGCACCAAAATCGAAAATTGCTCGCCGTAAGTATGTGAAAGCTCCGCAGTATGAGATATGAGTGCAGCAGTAACGGCGTGACACACCTGGCAGACGCGCATAATACAAATAAAAGTAATTAGAGCAAAGTATTCGAATTTGAAACCACCGCGAAAACCAGAGAAAATTGCAAAAAGTGTTTGCCTCCAACAAACATTCTACAAGTGTAGCATATCAATATCAAATATCTCTACAAAGAATTACCATAAAGTGTTTTCCTCGCAAATATGGATGAAAAATCAAACGTTCCGCAGCGCATTTACCCGTCCACGCCACTTGAGCAGCCGGTCGCAGCGAGTGAACAGCAACAGGCTCTATTGCAACCGGCGCCACCCACGTACTCACAAGCAACAGGTGCCACACCCACGACAGCGCCGGATGCCGCGCATATTGTTGTAATTACGCGTAAGTGACGCAACCTTTGAGTTCCTAAATTGTTTCTTTCGCTTGTGATTTGCTTCTACATTTTTATTTTTCTTTGCCTTGGGTACAGCCGGCGCACCGTTGGCATATGGACCCGCACCGGTGGATATACAGTGTCCCTACTGCCACAATTATACACGCACCCGCTTGCGCTTTAAGCCAACCTCACGCACGCATCTAATTGCTCTGCTGCTCTGCCTTTTCCAGTAAGTGCTTATTATGGCCTTGCCAATTATGGTTTTTTTATACCCGAGGCATGCAGGTTTTAGAGGATTTTTATTATGTACAATCTAGTTCAGTGGTCGGCATTCTAACACATTCAAACGATTCAATAAGTGAGACTGTGTGCGTTAAATGCACTTCTCAGCTACCGCTCTTCGTATACGTGTGAAACACACCTGTGCTCAGAGAGCGCTCAGTGAGCTATAGCCTGCCGACCATTTAGCATTAGTGATTTGAAATTCTAAGAAAAACGGTTTAAGGAAAATGATGAATTTTAAAAGTTTTACATTGCGAAAGTAATTTAACCACAAGAAATCATGAGACCACCCAAAGTTGGTACTGTATAAAGTGGGGTATGCGGACGAAATCGATGCAGAAAGAAGCCCTCTTATAGTCGAAGCTTTTACAGAGATAAGCAGAAATAAGTTTTTGTATTCCGCTGTACAGCGTAAATCTTATCTATAAAAAGATAAATGCGGAACTAAGCCGATATAATAAAATTTTCGAGTGTACTGAGTTGCAATCTATTCAAAGAATTGAAACAAGATACTAGGGGTATCCATCTTAACGCTAAAGTGCATCGTAAACGCGTAAATCCCGTAAATAAACTGGTTTTCCATACAAAATTAAGTAAGTTTACGAGGTTTTCCTGGTTACGAGGCATTGACTAGTTTTGATGAATACCCCTATGTATGTATTTTTATTATACCCGAGCGCACTTGTGCACAAGGTTATATTAATTTTGTTCACATAACGGTTGTTTGTAACAGCCAAAACGAATCGAGATAGTTATAGACAAATGCATACATAAATGATCAGGATGAAAAAATAAATCGATTAAGCCATGTCTGTCTGTCCGTCCGTCCGTCCGCCCGTGTACACGATAACTCGAGCAAAAATTGAGATATCTCAACGAAATTTTGTATGTAGGTTTCCCCTAATCCAAGGTAGGCTGGTATTGAAAATGGGCGAAATCGGACTGTAACCACGCCCACTTCCCATATAACGGTAATTTCCAGAAATACGAAAACTGCCATATTTTAGTACCTACTGAAGATAATTCACTCAAAATTGATATTTACAATAATTTTCAGACGAAAAATAAGAATATTATAAATTTTTGGAAAATGGGCGTAGCCACGCCCACTTATGGTTACATGTGTATATCTTGGTAACCGCTGCACCAATTTCTTCCAAACTTGGCACAGTTGTTGGTCGTGACACAGCATACTAAATGGCCAAAAATTTAAAAAAGTGGACAATAACCACGCCCACTTCCCATATAACGGTAATTTTCGGAAATACGAAAACTGCGATATTTTAGTAAGTACTGAAGATTATTCACTCAAAATTGATATTTACAATATATTTCAGACGAAAATTAAGAATAATATAAATTTTTGGAAAATGGGCGTAGCCACGCCCACTTATGGTTACATGTGCATATCTTGGTAATCGCTGCACCAATTTCTTCGAAACTTCGCACAGTTATTGGCCTTCGCACAGCATACCAAATGGCCGAAAATTTTTAAAATCGGACAATAACCACGCCCACATCCCATATAACGGTAATTCTCGGAAATACGAAAACTGCGATATTTTAGTAACTACTGAAGATTATTCACTCAAATTGATATTTACAACAATTTTTAGACGGAAAATAAGAATATTATACATTTTTGGTAAATGGGCGTAGCCACGCCCACTTATGGTTACATGTGTTTATCTTAGGAAATACAAAATCTTCGATAAATCAGTAAATATTGAGGCTAATTTATTCAAAATTGATGCTTGCAACAATTCTTTACCAAGAAATACGTTTATGGTAAAATTTTTGGAAAATGGGCGGGGCACAGCCCACTTATGATCACATATATGTATATCGGTAACCGTTCTACCAATTTGTACCAAACTCGGTGTGGTTATTGTGCTTGCCACATGAAAGCAAAGCATTGAAAATTATTGAAATCGGACTAAAATTACGGCCGCTTTTCATATAACGGTAAATTTCAGAAATGCTTGAAACCTTAATATTTCGAAATTGAAGGACGCTAATTTACTCAAAATTGATACACTCCGGCTTACCATCTAGCGGTAGGTTTCGGAAAGGTGAAAAAACATATATACTGCGCCGGGTATTTAATGTTCGGCTCCGCCCGAACTTAGACTTTCTTACTTGTTGTTTAATATTTTTCTATTTAACGATTTTAATACTGCTATCTTATGTTTTTAGGCTCTACTGCTTCGTGTGTTTACCCTATTGCATTGGCAGTTGCATGAATACGGCACATTATTGTGGCTTGTGTGACCGTTACTTGGGTACCTATGTACGAGAATAATCAGGATATCCGAGAATGGAAGCTTTTAACACATTTTATTTAGGTCACAAGAAAAAAAATTATTGAAGCTTTGATGCTAAATGTTTATAATTTCAATATGTATAAATTTCAAAGTATTACAAGCCATATGTAAATGTACATACATGTGTACATATCGTTCATTTACTTCAATATTGTCATAATCCAAAAAATACAAATATTGAGTTAAGTTCGCAGAAATCAACGCTAACCGCTCGAACAAAATACGTACTAAGATTTACCATGGGAGTATATACATATGTGTAAATTTAAAACTTTAAGTTTCGCTTTTTTGAGTTACGATACTATTGAAGCAAATGATAGATATGTACATATATAACAATAATATTGCACATTAGGCCGGAGTAATTTGTTCAACGCAAAATTTTCGAAGAAAGTGTATAGCAAACTCAAATTCTACGATTAATTCTAAGCAAAAGTGACGAACAAACTATGTACCAAAATGGACGTTTGACCCTCTCAATTTTCAAAAGAAAAAGCAGTATATTGTATGCAGAAAACGCAAAGTTTATTAAATGAATAACTAATTTCGTTCAGAAAAAATTATAATACAAGAATTTTCTTTTAAAAATTAGGAGGGTCAAACATAATTTTTTGTATATAGTTCGTTCGCCATTTTTGCTAAGAATTGAACGTAGAATTCGAATATGCCATACACTTTTTTAGAAATTTGATTACTCCGCCCATAAGGCATATGTATCTACGATCTTAAATAAGTAAATACCTTTTTAAACTTTGGAGTGCACATACATACATATACATATGTATGCATCTACAAAACATTAACTTTTTTATCTAAATATTTGTAATGAAATTCAGCCGATAAGAAGGACAGCAATAAACGCCACAAACTGTAAGTTAAAATTTATATTTGAATTCATTGTACATGTGTAATATTTTCGTAACTTCATTTATATTCAATAATTTTTATTGAGCTTGAGGCCGTTTAAATAAAAAACTTATTGTGGAAAAACAGAAATAATTTGAAAAAATGGTAGAAGTGGTAGCTATTTCGAAAATCACCACATATCCTCATCAGACTTCTTTCAGTAGGATTCGAACCGACGACCCCACTGACTCAGCCAGCTGCCTATTTATGCACTGTGCTAAATCCGCCTGTGAGTTCTTTTTGCTTTTTCCCACTATTTCATTTGTTAAGCCAACTTCAATCAAACGCAGCTATTCCAGTGCTATTTAAACTTGATCATGTGGTTGTTGGTTTTGTTGGTTCTTGTTAATAATTCTACTATTAGAATGTTTAACTTTTAGGTGTGCTCGTAGTTAAGTTATTTGTTTTTGTTATTTTATGGCTTTATAACAATTATATTCAACAATTTTTATTCATTTAATTTAGCAGGCGAAGGTGGAAGCTATGAAATCACAGAATTCAAGCATTTTACTTCCGAATTATAATTTGTCCAGCTGACGAGTAGACAGTGCGACAGTGAAAATACACAACATAACAAAGAGCAGGTTAATTATACTAATCCTCTATACTAATTATATAAAGAGAAGTCCCTTTTTTTGTTGTAAAAGGTAATCTCGCGAACGGCTGGTCCGATTTTCATAAAATTTTGTATATAAATAGCTTTCAGCAACCACCATTTTTTAGGTCAGAAAAAAATTACTTTTTCCGGTAGGTGGACCAGGGACCGATTTATTAAAAAAAAATCTTATCCGATTTGCTTAAAATTTGGTACGTAGGTACACTCTAAAAAATTTTTGTTTAAATTTGCGCATATTAAGATAGGTA